CCTCGCCACTCTGGAGAGACTAGAAGAGACGACCGACGAAATCAAAGCCTGCTGTGAGGATCTCAAGGTTCTGGGTAAGAAGGAATTCAGGAACCTGCTCAGGTGGCGACTGAAGGTGCGGGAGCAGTTCGGTCTCGCTGTGAAGAAGGGCGGTCAAGCCAAGGAGGATGAGACCGAAGAAGTGGCGGAGGTCGCTCCTATGGATGACGAGCTGGCCATTCAAGAGGAGCTGATGCGCCTTCGTGAAAAGGAAACCTCGAAGCAGAAGAAGGAGCGCCGCAAGGAGAACGAGAGGAAGCGCAAGGAAATCATTCGGTTACAGATGCACATGACGACACCCATGGATATCGGAAAGGAGCAACTGGGACCTAATGGCGAGGATGCCACATTCTCGCTCAAGCGCGCCGAGAGAGGTGGAATCAGGGACACCATTGCGGCCGGCCATGAAGCACCGATTGAAAGTGATAGCGAGGACAGTGCTTCCGAGTCTGACTTCGAGGAGAGCGATGACGAGGAAGACCGTCTGGAGCGGGAACTTGACAACCTGTACGAGCAATACCAGGACCGCAAGGAGGACCGGGACACGAAGCTACGGGCAAAGAAGGCCAGGAAGGACTTTGAAGCCGACTCCTGGGATGGCTTTTCCGATGATGACAAGGAAGATGGTGAGGACTCCGACGACGAGGGTCTTGGAGTTAGCTCCGCCGGCGACAAAGCTCCCAAGTCAGCTTCCCTTTCCAACAGTGCGTCGCTATTCTTCGACCAAGATATATTCCAAGGCTTAGAAGACATCGACGATGTCGAGGATGAAGATGAAGATAGCGCCATCGAAGTGAAGGAGGCTCCGCCTAAGGGCAAGGAGTCTGAGAAGAAGAAGGCAAAGGAATCCAAGAAGCCTGTTCAGGCGATGGAAGACTCGGATGAAGAAGATATTGAAGAGCTTGAGGATCCGCGTAAGAAGAACGGGCAGCTCGGTAAGTTCGCAGATGTGGCGTGTCTTTGCCTTGTACCCTGGACAATTAATGCTAACTCTACTACATAGATATCGACATCATCACTGCGGAAGCTATGGCACTTGCTCAACAGATGGCTACTGGAGAGAAGAAGTCTTCTGATGTGGTTGATGATGGCTTCAACCGATTTGCGTTCCGCGATAGCGATGGTCTCCCCGAGTGGTTCCTTGACGATGAGAACAAGCACAGTATCCAGAACCGTCCTATCACCAAGGCGGCCGCAGCCGCAATCAAGGAGAAGATGCGCGCCATTAACGCTCGCCCGATCAAGAAGGTTATGGAAGCCAAGGGCCGTAAGAAGTTCAAGGCCGCTCAGCGACTGGAGAAGTTGCGCAAGAAGTCTGCACTGTTGGCAGATGACGAAGCCCTCAGTGAGCGTGACAAGTCGCAGGCCATTGCGAGATTGATGAGCAGGGCTACCAAGAAGAAGCCCAAGCAGCAGGTGAAGCTGGTGGTTGCCAAGGGAAACAACAGGGGTATCTCTGGACGTCCTCGTGGTGTCAAGGGCAAGTACAAGATTGTGGATTCTCGTATGAAGAAGGATATCCGGGCTCAAAAGCGCCTTGCCAAGAAGAAGAAGAATTAGTGATGGGGCTTAGCTGTGGAACTCGAAGCGATCTTTTTCATCATTGTCCATGTATATACCCGGTTAACATTATAGATCTCTGTATCATATCCATGGTGAAAGGGGTACGTACCTGTTATTGCGAACTGTAAAAGCGTTTTTGATCTCGTCACTCTAGACGAAGGTATGGTTTAAGGCATCAAGTTGTCTCTCATTCAACAGTGCTAATCAGCATATGGCAATAACACTACCACACTGGCCAGTTTTCTGCTTTACGTCTATAGGAATACTCTGGCCTCTAAATTAAGATGTAATACGTAGGGGAAGATAATGTTGGGATGATAAAACGTAGTAGATAATGACAATTCTTGAGAATCATAGCTTCTGCTCGTGCGCCTGTGACAGATACAGCATCATTCGCATATAATATGTATTCTACGAAGGTATTATATATCAATAAGCCATCCAATTGGGGCAGTTTAAAAAAAGATCATGGCCGTGTCGGTTCGTCGCGTAGCCCTCTCTATGAGAATTTAGAGGCTTCGTTCAAGGCTTCTGCTTCCTTACCCATTCTAGCCATCCAGCGATCAACAAGATCTTGATTCTCCTTTTGCAGCCGGGATGACCGCTCTTCAGCCATATTCAGTTGAAGGTTCAACGATGCCAGCTCGTCTTGGAAATCCTGAAGTGGTGTCAGCGACACTAGTAAGGACCCCAAGAAAGGAGGGTAGGGAGCAGCATACCTCCAATAACTTTGCCTTCCCACGCAACTCCTCATCTCGATCCTTTAAGCGTAGTTGAAGATGGGCGGTCTCATTTTCAAATAAGCGAATCCGTCTGCTATCCTGAGTGCTTCTCTTCCGCAGCTTCTCCAAGTCAGCGGTCATGCGTGTGAGCTGGTCCTGCAGTTCGGAGCGTGACCGCTGCGCCTCAGCGAGGTCTGCACGTGTTGCTAGGAGAGTCTCTTGTAGAGATAGGTCTTGTGCTCCTGCTCCTGATAGCGCCTTGCTGGAGCGGGATGCTGAAGTGTCGGATGGTACATGCTGTGCTTCAACCGGATCTGAGCTCGGTGGGTTGCTAGCCGCTGCTCCCTGAACCGTGCGATCGGCCAGTTGGGTATCTAATGGTTTTGGGTCATGATAGTCAGAGAATGGTCAGAATACTTCCGGGAATGTGGACTACCCCAGAAAGTGAGGGTGATCGACATACAAGCATCGTAAATAGCTATGCTGGCTTTCTCTCGTCGATCACGAGCCGCCAGCGCGGCGGAGTACTCCTCTTTCCAGTGGGCCATTTGATAGCAAGTGGTGATAAGGTGAGAGTCTATCTAGCGGATGGACGGCGGACCCCTCATATCATGGAGCCATGGTGGAGCTCAGAGTCGCCGAGGGAGAGACGTATAGCTATATTCACAGATGTCACTAGGTTAAATGAACGAACCAAACGAGTTAAACCACGACAACCCCAGCGACCTGCACAACTATTCGAAAGTGTGAGGGGAAGAATGGACTGTCTTGTCACTGACGGGTGGATGGGGCGCTGACCGCCATCTCCACCGCCCACGTCCGCGTGCATCATCGAAAGCCGCCGTCGCCGTTAGCTCGGCTCAGTTCACCGTCCAGGCCCAACCATCACTCTTCCTGTTTGTTACTTGACAACAACTACCCGACTCGCTCGGTGTCTCTGCCAACTGACTGCATCCCTCGCTGCGCTGACGGGATTATATCGAACATCTCTTTGCTTTTTCCCCTTCAATAGACAGAGCTTGACTTGTCCATACACTCACAGCCCCCTCATATCTCCACCATGTCGTCACGGAAGAAGGTCTTGTTGAAGGTACCTCGCCTCCCCCGACTCATGCAGGCCAAGCCGCCTCGATGAAAGCTTCAATTACTCACATAGCTCTCGGAATCTCTTAGGTTATCATTCTGGGTGATAGCGGCGTTGGTAAGACGAGTTTGATGAACCAATATGTCGGTGGCCTTATCTCCCAGCTGTTCCTCGGATCCCCACTCATCCTCATCTCGCTCAACAGGTCAACAAAAAGTTCAGCGCAAGCTACAAGGCCACAATCGGAGCCGACTTTCTCACCAAGGAGGTTCTAGTTGATGATCGGCTAGTGACAATGCAGGCATGTACTCCCCGGCTTGCGAAGACGACGGAGCTATGTTGGGAATTGGGAGTTAACTGATTGTCCACAGATCTGGGACACTGCAGGACAAGAGCGCTTCCAGTCCCTCGGCGTTGCATTCTACCGCGGTGCGGACTGCTGCGTTCTGGTCTACGATGTCAACAATTCGAAGAGTTTCGAGGCCCTTGACAGCTGGCGCGACGAGTTCCTGATCCAGGCCAGCCCTAGGGATCCTGAGAGCTTCCCTTTTGTAAGGACTTCTCTCTCCTTCAATCTTATCTGACCTAGGCGCCTGATTTGCGCGATGGTTCGGCCGGTAGAGACAATTACTAACTAGGGTTCAGGTTGTGATTGGTAACAAGATCGATGTGGAAGAGAGCAAGCGGATGATATCTTCGAAACGGGCCATGACTTTCTGCCAGTCGAAGGGCAACATTCCTTACTTCGAAACGAGTGCCAAGGAAGCCGTCAACGTTGAACAGGCTTTTGAAGGTTGGTTACTCATCCTGTCTACTCGATTTCAATGCATAGCTAATTTCGCACTCAGTCATCGCCCGGAGCGCTCTGGCACAAGAAGAGGCAGAAGAGTTTAGTGGGGAGTTCAGCGACCCGATCAACATCCACCTTGATGGTGAGCGTGACGGCTGCGCTTGTTAATGACCCCTTTACTAGACATGCCTTGCGAACGTTTTATATTTCTACTTCAAGCCCGCTCCATTTTCGCTGTACGCGCCTCCGAATGCTCCCACTTCGTGCTTGTCAGAGCACATCAATGCCTCGTATGAACTTTCGAGCTTGGAAGAGCGTAGCTGTTCTGTTGGGAACACCTGCACTTATACAGTTATGGAGCTCCTCATGTGTCACGCTCCTTGTCTTGTGTTTGCCTGCCAATTCGCATGGGATATCCGTTGATGGTCTTGATTCTGCTTAATATTTCCCTTTTGCTTTTCTGGTACGAAGGTACTATCATGTTCTGTAGGAGTCTGGAATATTATTGCTTATCTGCTGAAAGCTTGTACAGTATAGCTGGTTAAGTAGGCAATTACCACACATCTAGTGTTGTATTACGCAAGACCTATGTTTCTCAAAGTCAGTTCTGATTCCCAATTAGAACCCGAGAAGCAAGGAGGATCCCGCTGGCCAAAGAACCAGTGGTATGGTGGAGGAGATCAGGATCGGCTAAGCGTCGCGTGCTTATCTCGGCGCATCTCGTGATGCTCGGCGTTATCAGTTCGGGTTACACCGCAGAGTCACTCCGCCTCCGGTTTCCTTCTCTCCTCCGGTGAACCCCCCCGATCTTGCTCCGTCCACACCCCCTTCTTCATCGCCTGCTGGAACAGGTGGTGTCTTTCAACGTGTACGGCTTATTATTTGCGCCCATGATCTAGGAAGAACACTCGCGGTCCGGGGGGTCTATCATACCTCGCGTGCGCCGGCGGGGAACTCTATAGAGCCTCGACTCTCAGCGAGTCCTTCTCTTATCGCCCGCTATTGACAGCCAGAGAAAGTACGCGGAAAGCACTCAGAAACCATGGAAGCACCCGAGACCACGGAAGGCTCCATCTTGGTCGGCGCCGCGAGACGAACATTGGGCATTTGCCTGCTGCTCGTCGTGGTCTTCCTATGGACGGCCTCGAACTTCCTCGCCAGTGTATGTGCTTGACTACTCTTGACCCTTCATTATATGATATACCCGGTGTAGTGCTAATTTAGTCTCTATCTATGTGTCACAGACAATATTCGCCGACGATACATACTCCAAACCGTTTTTCGTGACATACATCAACACCTCGTTATTCATCCTTCCTCTCTTCACAATTCTCTCTAGACGGCTCTTGAAACTATGGCGGGCAGGGAAGCTCTACCGGGTTAGGTCTTTCAAGGGCCTATTGGAGCACCTCGATTCTCATGATACGAACGTCGAGGCACGGGGTATACTCAGTCACAATGCAGGAGGGGAGCGTTGGCGCAGCGAGGACGAAGACCCTGAAACATGGGCTGGTGCTAGGTTCAATGCTGCATCTCAGGGCCAGCCATCTAAGCTGGGATTGAAGGCGACAGCTAAACTGAGCTTTGAGTTCTGTTTGTTATGGGTAAGCATATCGCTACACCGAATCTCCAAACCGTATCAAAGACGCAAAAGCTAACAAGCACTAGTTCTCCGTGAGTACTAGCGATCAGTAGAGTTATCCATCCTTCCTATACTGACTCAATCAGGCAAACTACTTCGCAATGGCCTGTCTCCAATACACAACAGTAGGAAGCACCACAATTCTCACCTCAACAAGCGGTACGTACGTACGCCACCACTTAACACCACTAAACCTAACCCCCCAAACCCAGGAGTCTGGACCCTCATTTTCGGCGCCCTAATCGGCGTTGAGCGCTTCACCATCCGCAAGCTCATCGGAGTAATCGCCTCTTTAATCGGCATCATCCTTATATCCCGCGTCGACATGTCACCCCCCAACAACCCCAGCAATACCAGCGGAAGCGGAAGCGGCAGCACCTTCCCCTCCAAAACCCCCGGCGAAATCGCCCTCGGCGACGCAATGGCCGCATTCAGCGCCATCCTATACGGCGTATACACCATCGTGCTGAAAAAGCAAGTGGGAGACGAATCCCGCGTCAACATGCAACTATTCTTCGGCTTAGTAGGACTATTCAACACGGTCCTCCTCTGGCCGGGCTTCATTATTCTTCATGTCCTCGGTATAGAAACTGTCGGAATGCCTGATACGGGGAGAGTCTGGACGATTATCTTGGTATTACCCCCCCAACATTCCCAAACCCTCTCTCGCGTCAGCAATACACAGATAACTAACTAATACCAATTTTAAATATAGGTAAACGCCCTCGCCTCCCTCGCCTCCGACATCGCCTGGGCCTACGCAATGCTCCTCACCACGCCACTAGTAGTAACCGTGGGATTGAGTCTGACGATCCCGCTCTCGCTTGTGGGCCAGATTGTGCTTCAGGGACAGTATGCGAGCGGGTTGTACTGGGCTGGGGCTACAGTGGTGTTTTTGTCGTTTTTGGTGGTTAATCAGGAGAGTCGCGAGGTGGATGGGGAGGGCCCTGTGGTGGTGGTTGGGAGGGGAGGGGCTGGGGCGGAGACTAGTGCTGGGTATGAGGCTATTCCTGGGGATGGTGGTAATGAGTATGGAAGGGATAGGTGATAAGTATCTATACCTGCTATGGAGGTGTTGGTACGTTAGATAGGTAGTAGGCAAGGGGCTTACTTTACTATCACTGATTGAGGAAACTGCTGAGGATGGAAGCAAATTTGGTAGTGAAATTAGCATTGACACAATGTGCTCATGTCTGAAGCACAGAGAGGATTATTGGTACTAAATAGAATTACATGACCACAGTCAGACACAAGGTGTGCTGTGTGGGAGGAATCAAAGTGTGAAGAAATACATGAAGAGCACGCAAAACCCGCATCACTTCTCATGTCATCCAGGACAATCAAGCCATACGCGAGACTAACCCAACTCGTAATGTCTCTTACTCGCGGGGTCTCAACATCTCATACAATCAGTTATAAAATCACAAGACATTAAGACAAAATATCATGAAGAACATTGGGTATGTATCATCAAACAGGAGCAAGTGCGAAGTAATATAATACCGGCGAACATAGAAACCACAAAGGAGAATAGTTGGGTAAGAATTGAAGTAGACTAGCCAGAATCCAAAGTGATATCGAGAAAAACTTGAAAGAATGTATAGAAGGGGCGGGATCCGAAGGATTTCGGAATCTGTTATACAGTGTACTTCTTTTAACGGAGGCCTGCTGCTCCGGGCGCAGGCTCCAGTTTCTTGCGGGCGACGAGAATGCTCTTCAAAGCACCTAGCCACTTTGCAAGAGATTCTTCATCTGGTGCGCATAGTCGATACGACTTTTCTTCCGCGATGATTTGAAGACAGAAGTGTTTCGAACGTGACATAGGGTCGACCTCAGCAGCGTCGATCACCTGTGCCATGGGTATGACTTTGACCGCGGAGTATTCCTTCAACATGGCACTGTTAGTCATGACTATAGAACTTAATGCTAGAGGTAGCTAAAGAATAGAATCCATACCTGTTCATCTTTATAGAAACCCAGGCTTTTCGGGCGCAGCACAACCCATAGTCGCTTCCAGTGGCGCATAGATCCCTTGATTTTGAGGCATTGAAGATACCCGTTGCATACAACTCTCTCCGGGTCACGTAGGACCGCGGACTCATTGCGCGGAATCGAGGAAGGGCCGTCGCTATGAACTGATGCAGGCTGGTTTTGAATGGAAGGCGATGTCATGCGAACGCCGTTGTTGTTCCCAGGGCCATCGGACCATTCTGAATATGACGTGATATCATTTCCCGAGTGATCATGGGGCGAGGCGAAACGCCTCGAATGGTAAGTGGGTGACAATGAATCTCCGACTTCCGGAGAACTTGGTCGTCCGCGCTGATCAAAATCGGAGTGGTCGGTGGTATCATAGATGCGGCGCTTGTTGTTTCCGGCGGTGTCGCTATTCTTTGATAAGGCGAGGAAGGCCTCTTCGTCTTCGTCCATGCGGGTTTCTGATCGAATGTGTCTGATCCAAGCTTCGGCCTCTTTTTCCGAAGATGCCTGGAAGCGATAATTCTTCGACGGCGAGAAAACGCCAAAAACGTACTGTCGGTTGGATCTGGGGGACCTGACCGACGCAACGGCCGTGACCTCAGACAACGTGATAGAGGCTCGGAGCCTCGTGGCCTCCTCATCCTTGTATACCGACAGAAGGTTGGGACGTAGAACGAGATATGCCGGTTTCCAGGAGGCCCTAAATGCCTAGTTTGACAGAGTTAGTTGGTTCTAGACCGAGCTCGGCTGACGGCGCAAACGACTAACATGTTTGTGCTTCACGCGACGAAACACCTTTCCAGTCTTCAGGACCCGATCGAATTCGAAACTCCCATTTTCATTGACCGGCGAGAAAGTATCCAAGTTGACATGGCCGCTGCGATAGTGAGCGGATTGATTATTCGGGACTAGAAGCGCCGACGTCTGGACGGTGCCATCGGGTAGCTGGATCGCGGGCGCTTTGGGATTCCCTTCTGCAACCGGTGCGTACGATGTGGGAATTGGTTGAGTCATGATTATAGGAAGCTGGTGCTAGCAGCAAAGGTCTGTGTCGGGAAATAGCTGTCGTGTGCAAGTGGTGTTCGAACGGTGCGCGAGCGGAGAGAAGGAGTGTATAGCGCTATCTATACCGGCTGGACGGCACACCGGGACTGCGTCCGGCTTTAACAAAACTGTAACGAGAAAAGATCGATATATAGTGAGTGGTAGTAGTTCGGCAAGATTAGAAGAAGGTAGGCAGAAGTATTGGCCAGGTAGTAGTATCTGGCTGCTGACGATTAGAGTCGGTCGCGACCGACAGGGTCATGGAGGCTGTGCCAAAAGGAGTGGTGAGCGGGTGGGAAGCGACGAACGGGGGGGAAGCAATGAGGGAATGCGATGAAGTAACGAAGCGCTCGCCGTGACGACAACCAGTAAGTACTAGGTTCACACAGAATAAAGAAGTATCATGACTCAAAAGTGAAAAAGGCGCAACTCCCTCACCAAACGGATCCCAAGGGTTAGGAGGAGAAAAAGGGGATCCTTTTTTCGGGGACGAAAAGAGATGAGGAGAGAGGGGGCGGAGGTTCTTTTTCTAATTTTCCCAATTCAACGGGACGCATGGACGTTTTTTCTGTTTTGGAGATCATCTGGGTTTAGTCCCGTTGGAAGCTGGAACCTCGACCCTCGACGGGCTCTTTTCCCCTGCTGTTTCACCTTCGCGCCTTCTGCCATCCTTTTCCTTCGCAATGGACCGGTTTCTCTTACCCCCTTCCTTGAATGGGGACTGCAAGACTCCCTTTATGAAACCCTTTGTTGATTCAGTTTGAAGGGAAGGGGGGAGGAGGAAGAACAACCACAATACTAGGAACAGATGCTGGAAACAATCATAGGATGATATTGGCAATGATAATAAGTGTGACTGGGAACGGGCTCCCATACCTCGTGGGTAGCCCCATTTCTACTATCTACTATCTATTAGTAGTAGTTATCATCTGCTCCCTCCCGCAACAACCACAACCACCACCACGTTTTTGAGTTTCCAAAGACAGGTCTTCTTCCCCCGACATTCTTCGGGTTCATCAACTACGTGAATCATGAAACGGATATGATCTCTACATCTCTACAATTCTACACGGCAGATCCACGGATCTGATTGCCCCCACGAGTGGCTAATAATAGGACTATGTATGTATGTACTGTAAGTTATTACTTACTCTCCGGAGAGCATCGAGTAAGTAGTAGATAGATAGATAGATGAATAGTCCCTTGACCGCGCTGCAGATCATGACGGACAATACGTAAGTTAGGTACTACACTACATACAGTACGTACCAGCATTGATGCCTGAAGACGGACGTGCATGAGATGAATTATCGTCCCGGCATGCATGTTGCGTGTACCTACATAAGTTGTAGCATATAAAGATAGGTAAATTATCTACCGACCTACATGCTTTTCACCGATTGCATTGGATGATGTGACAGCTCAGCCGCGAAGCTCCGCACGATGCTTCCTCTCGCCATGAAAAGAACTTGCAGTTATTCTCCCGGTAGTGATGTCATTGGTGAGATCCCGCGATGGACAATGATCAGACTTACTATGTATGTAAGTAAGCTCTGTCAAGCCAGTTGCCATGCCCTGGGCGAAACTCAAGCGGGAGTTCCTTTTCGGGATCCTAACGAGGGCATCCGTTTCTATTGCCGTGTCCCAGCAATGAAAGCCTTAAAAGGCCACCTTGACAGATCCCCCCTTTAGGACCGGGGTCACGTGTGGGTCCCGGTGGGATTTCAGGGTTCTGGATGCATAAATTACCGGCTCGTAATACCACCAGGTACCAATGGCCCGCTTTTACCATACAATACACCTCCTGCTCAGTCGGGCCGAATTCACCGGCTAGAACTACTAAGGAGTATCTATTCTATCTACTTAACTAACGGTATGGAGTAGTTATCTCCTGGTAAACCACGTAGTGAGGTTGCTAGAGTTTACCTAAGAGATAGTAGTGTAAGAAACTGGACACTAGATCTAGATAATTTGCTACCATTAGTCGACTCCAGATCTCCTATTCTCCTGCCATATGCGTAGGAGATAATCATTCTTGATTTCATACAATGAATCAACCCCAGCAGAACTTGCATCCGAAATCCGAGTCAGATCTCGGACCCGAGTTGCAGGACAGTGAAAGAGTCCTGCTAACAGGCCCATTGATTACACGATGAACGAGCCATGTCCGTCCGTCTGTCTCTATCGGCTCATGGCGAAGTATGAAAGTATGAAGATGAAGGTAAGAAGGTAAGGGTGCTCTCTCGTTCTTATAATATTGTAGAGGCAGAGAAAAACAAAACAGTAGCTTGAAGCAAGTTAGGTAGGGAAATTTGTCTTGCCTACTTACTACTACTTACCAAGACACACATGCGTGGTCAAGGGAGAGTGTTTGCATCCCGCGGTTACGAAGCGCGGCCACCAGAGATCTAAACCCTCTGGTGTCTGACGACGGTCGCGCCAAGCTAACGAACGAGAGGAACTGGTTCTGGAAAACACTAAACATAAATAGAAATCCAATGTGGTCTCTCAACTTCTAATTGCCCTTCAAGGTGGTTCGCCATGCTGATCGTGAAGCTCAAAGGGCCCAGAAAAATACCCTTTGACACTTGCTGACGACTGCCAGATTCCGCCCGGCCAAATTTAAGAATGATTCAAGGAGGACGTGTTTTGCAGGTTAAGCTTCAGGGTCTTTTGCATGCACCAACTCTCCCAACTTCCATGTAAGTACCAAAGGCTGGGTCGGTAAGGCCGGTACAGATAGATTCCTAGTTCTTACCACCCATCAGGCCCGAATTTTCTCTCGGTGGTGCTGTCTTGACTCGTTTCCCTTTAGTTCCCCCCAATAACCACCGTACAAGGGTTGTGTGGTTTCTATAGTGCCTTTTTTAGACGTAATTTTGGTCATTCTACTAAAGTGCCACCAATCTAACCGACCAAGTCAGCAATAATTTACCGCCAGTGATTTGGTCTTGGGAGAAAGAGGGATTTGGGAAGAGGGTGAAAACGAGACAAGAACGAAAGGGAGAACCAAGTTGGACTACCGCAAATAGGCTAAGTGTAATACAATACCAGAATACCAGTCTGAAAGGAGAGCCGCGACTCCCGAGCTGGAGGGTAGGCTGTAAATTACCATCTGTGACCACGACCGCTTGCGCCTCCCTGGCCTTGGCGGAACTTCCACCCATCCCCATCCCCAAATAATCCTCTCTCGAGCCTTCATCTCATCGGTTGCCCTCCCGCAGCTCTCGGCTTCCACCCAGCCTCAGCCTGCCACCTCCCCCTCTGATCGTGATTAATGACCTCGTCGACCACAATCGTGTCTTCGGCCTCATTGCTCCGGACACCAGTCCTTTGCGTTGCTGTCGACTTTCCCCCTGCCCACCTCTGCTTGGCCGACTGAGAGGGAAAAGTTGGCGAGAAAGGAGGCTTTCCTCCGGCCGCTCTTTATTTCGACCCTTCGCTTCGTCTAGATCGGGATTCTCCATCCGTTCTCGATTATAATACTCTTTAATCGCTTCTTTGTGTTCTCATATCGCTCGGCTTTGGAAAGTGAATTATAAACCAACGTCTCGCTCTTCGGCGCTCGCGTGCGAACGTACATATCTCTTGTCATCGAGATTCCCTTTGGGTCAATATCCGACAAGAGAGGTCTCGATCTCAGAAACGTGTTTCATTTGACTGCTGATACTTGAAAAATCACTGTGTGCCATCGCTGTTCAATCAGCCGTGTGGCCCATCTTTTGCACCCATGGGCCTCGTTCAACGGGTTACGAAATGGCTGCCCTCCACGCCGAGTCTGCCCCTAGATGACTCGTCGCGCGAGAAAGGCCGCAATCTGTCCAGATTCGCTTTCTTCAAACGGAGGATACGGTTAAAGGGCAACTCCTCGATCTCGATACCCCTGGGATTTGTTTTACTATTTCCATGCCTTGTAATAGTCCTTATCCTACTACTTTTTGTTCGACATCCTGCTTCCCCTGGCGGTATTCTCATCCCTGCCGGTACTCCGCCTTCTATCAGGTTCGTTCTACTCGCTAGGCACGAGATACAAAATTTTCGATAGCTAACCACGCGCCGTTTTGACAGGAAAATAAGCGAAAAATATGACAAAGTCTTCGCTACCGGCTGTCTCCCCGTCGAGAAAACCGACGCCCCGCGCGCAAATGCCGCTTTCGTCGTCCTTGCCAGAAACAAGGAATTAGACGGAGTTATCCAGTCGCTCAAGTCCATTGAAAGACACTTCAACCGCTGGTTCCACTACCCTTACGTCTTCCTGAACGATGGTGATTTTGATGACGCCTTCAAGGCGACGGTCAAGAACTACACCAGCGCCCCCGTTGAGTTTGGCAAGATCGATGAGTCCATGTGGGGTTACCCCGACTGGGTTGATCATGAAGTCGCCAAAGAGGGCGTTCGGAAGCAGGGTGACGCCGCCATCATGTACGGAGGCATGGAGAGTTACCATCATATGTGCCGATTCTATTCCGGGTAAGTTTCCCAGCCATTTCCACTCCGCTGCCACTAATCCTGACCGTTGAATAGCCACTTCTACAAGCACCCTCTGCTCATGAAATACGAATGGTACTGGCGTCTCGAGCCTGAGATCAAGTACTTCTGCGATATCACATAGTACGACCCTCCCACGGATCCTTGCGTTATCGGTAGTATACTGACATCCTAATCAGTGATCCATTCATCAAGATGGCGGAAGCAAACAAGACCTACGGCTTCACGATCGCTGTCAAGGAGCTTCGCGAGACCGTCCCCAACATCTTCCGTTACGCATCTGCCTACAAGCGGAAACACAACTTGGAATCGAAGGGATTGTGGGAGATGTTCCTGGAGAAACCAGAAGAAGAGCCGAAGCCCGAGGAGGAAAAGCAAGAGAAACTCCCTGAGGAGATCCTCCAAAATGAGCCTGGTGAAAATACTGTTCCCGATGTTGACCCGGAAGCCATGGAAGGCGAGAAGTACAACATGTGCCACTTCTGGAGTAACTTCGAGATTGCGCGGTTGGACTTCTTCCGCAGCAAGGAATATGAGGAGTTCTTCGACATGATGGATAAGAGTGGAGGTTTCTGGATGGAGAGAGTATGTCCTCGCGTACCTGACTCGTCTTCGATATGGCCAACTGACTGACTGATCTAGTGGGGTGATGCGCCTATCCATTCATTGGCCGCCGGTATTCTTCTGTCCCCCAGCGACATCCACTACTTCCGTGACTTCGGCTATCGGCACACTACTATTCAGCATTGTCCTGCCAACGCTCCAGCACGGCAATTGCCCCGAATCCCCTGGCTGGAGACGACAACCGAGGACGAAAAGGAGCGCATTGAAGAGGACGAGTATTGGGCGAACCCTGATCCCGTCAAGGAGAACGGTGTCGGCTGCAGGTGCAGGTGTGACACTGACATTGTGGATGTTGAAGGCAAGCAGGGCAGTTGTCTCGCCGAATGGGTCGAAGTTGCTGGAGGATGGGCATCCCCATAGATTCGGATTGTTGCCCTTTAATGTTCGCTGTATAATCTTCGCCTCCTGGTTTCCGTACCTATTTGTTCGACTATGAGCATTACTCGGTTCGCCCTTGGAGTTATTTGCTTGAGCCTGCATGTTACGTTGGCTGTGGGTTTCTGGACGGCGTTATACGGATCTGACGGCTTCTTACGTGGAAGACGGTGTGACCATTCTCATCAATATGGACAAATACATCTAGCGTGCTTCGTATATCTCACCTGGTTTGCCGCAATCACTTTAAAAAGAAAACAAGTGTATGCTCAAGAAGGCCGTGCTGTTGGGAATCCAAGTCGGCTACCAAATGATTCGTCTGGACCACGTTGCTGCTCGGCTCACTGGAGCGATGGCAGGCCAGAAGCAATGTCGTTCCTCGTATTGAGCACCAACATACGTTGTGAGGTTGCGTGGCTGGATGCGTCTGCTTGCGATACCCAATGTCTGGTGGTGGTGGGCATGCTTGGGTCGTTTCTCATTCGCCCTCGTGGCTTACCCCTGACATTGTCAGGCAGCGAACAGCAAATCTCCAGTTGGTATTTGGGGGGTTGTTGTATGGACAAGCGAAGGATCGCCGACCGACAACGACCAGACATTGTTGCAGATCTCTTAGAGGCCTACTTATTTACCTCCTGCTGAACGGGCCATCCGCACCGTACTAGCACCTATCAAATGTCTTTTGTCCCTACTTCCCCCCACCTGGCGCAAGCCTCATGTGTTCCTATTCTGCTGTTTTGACATCTGTTTGCTGTTTTCTTTTCCCCTTTGAATATTTTCTTTTAGTTCGATGCCCCGTTCTTCCCACATCATGTCATGAAATGTACATATCTACTTTATATGCTTCTCTCTGTTCTCTCCTGCTGAAACGGGAAGTTTTCTTCCTTTCATTTCAATCACACTTTTACGCGCATTTATATATTGCCATGGTTCGAAGTCTGGAAGTTACTGTCTGTCCATAGTTGCATAGGATGTTCTAGTAATGTGAAGTACTTATATCTGCTCGGTCATCTTCAGTTCTCGGGAAAATAAGGAAAGGGTCAAAGGGGAGAATCAAGACCAAGACTTGGACCCTCTTCAAGATTGGGGGAGGGGCCCACTAGTCTAGATCGGGTGTAGTGGCCTGAGAGTAGCCTGATAACGGATGCCTTATCGGCGATAGTTTGGAAGCTGGGGTCACTGACGTCTCCTGCAGCCATGATAGACAGCCAACAAACACCTGATGAGATATGTTCCTACTACTTACTTACCGCTAAGCCTGAGCAACGGAAACCTTAACTCCCACCTGACCCAGCCAGAGAGAGGGTGGATGTATACTGAGTGCCCTCCAGTCACGACTGCCGTGATATCCCATGTCAGGTGCCCCGCGCAAAGATAACCGTCACCTTCTCTTCCGGTCCAGTCACTCCAGTCATCTCTATCTATCTATCTCCCTTGACCGTTGCATTTCCCTACTACCTTTGCTCCCCATTTTCCACAACTCACCCTCGGTCGGTTTTTGTTTACAAGGCTTTCCCCCTTCCACTTACCGCTAGTTTCCGAAAACACGTTGATGAAACTAAATCCATCTTGCCCCGAGTGAGGCACCTGACCTAATCTTCCGCCCGGGCCGCGAGGAACAACAGCAGCATCAAGCGCCTCACCCCCCCACTTGCAATTCATCGTCCGCCTAGGCTGTCATCGGGCATCTGCCTATTAGGCTCGGACAATCCAGGCAGACTCTCCCCAGCCAGAGTGTTCCTGTAGTAGACAGCAGAACTTGCTTTGTTGAAGTTAACGTATACTTCCGCTGACTCTTCATTCTCTTCATTCCTGAGCTTATCCGTCGTCCTCTGCTTCCGGTCAAAGCTCCACTCTGCAGCTCTTCACTTGCTCTTTCCCTCAAGAAACCTTACTGATGAACATTCACTCGCAAACACCATGGCTGACTCTTCAGAGCCTCACCCCAGGCCTTCCCAACACCCTTCAACCGCTTCGAGCTTACAATATCCCACTCTCCCTCCGTTGAGTGCCTCTGTAGAGGAGTGGTTATCGCGATCGCGGCCTATCAGTATGACGTCAACTCCAATGGAACACCACTCCAAGTCCCTAAGCGAAAGCTGGGCGACGATGAGTGCATCCGACGTACACTCAGAAGATGGCACTCGTTCTGAACAGACGGATCTTGGGTCTTTGATCGATCAGACCGGTCCTGATGACGTAGCAAGTCTTGATGGCCGGTCCAGCCACAGCGACATGGATACCAATGACGAGGATGGGTTTGATGGTGATGGCTATGAGTCCAGGAGCAACGTTTCAGTGTCCCAGGAACTCGCATCGGCCTTCCCTCACATAAGAAACTCGATCGATGACAGCAACCTAACTACCAAGACGGCTTTACGGCAGTCGGTTGAGTCCATCGAGTTCATTGAACCGGAGAACTGGCCCGAGATTGAACGGGTAGAACTGAAGCATACCATCCGAGTGTTCGAAGGATCTGACACAGCAGAACTGGAGCAGGAGCTTCCTCACAGGTCAGAAGGCTCCACTGTCACGGCCACTGTGCAGCAGACTATGACTCGGAAAAGCCTTGACACCGACAAGCCTTTCCATGTGGTATATATTGGCAGCCCTGAATTTCGAAACATCATTCTCGACAAAATCGGGGATGTTTTAGTATCCAGCACCTATAGCGGTTTCGAGAGCAGTTCGACAGAGTCGTCCAGGTATCACGTCGTCCCAACATCCTTCGGCGCAGGCGCAGTTCCCAATTTTGCCGAGCTCCTCCCCATTCATGTCCAGCTTATTGTGGACGAATGCACCGAGGCTACCGCGGATCCCCATATGGACAAACCCAGCACGATCACACTCCAATTCAAGGGTCGGCCGCCGTGCTCTTCGATGTGGTCAGGGGCCGATTATTGTATCTCATCTTCGGTGCAATGGGCGCTCCCTGATGTCGCCATCTTTTTCCTATCTGGCACTGATACTCCCGAAGACATTGAGACCCAGAAAATGGCCCGCATACTCATGGAACGCCACGGTATTCCGGCTATGGTCATCTCGGAAAAGCCGCTCTGGACGATGTCTAGAGACCCTGTTCCTCTTAATCCCCATAGTCTCCACATGTGTCTGGAATTCCGCAATGCCCTGGACGGGAAGTCCAAGGTACTCAGGAGGTATCCTATCGATCTGAAGACCTTTGAAAGTATTACACCCGGGCAACTCAACAGGAACCTGGCGTCCCTAGCAACCATCTGTCCCAGAAAACCATGTCAAATGGCGTTGGAGAATCTGGATTCCCCTCGCACCAACTCATTCTGGGAATGGTGCACGTCCATCCATAAAGACCTCTCTCGTCCTTATATTGGCGACTATGGGGTGTCGATGTCTGCGTATCGCTTCATTGCTTTCAGTATCCTATCTATTGTATTCGTATTCTTAGGCCATACAGCCATGCTGGCCGCTAACTCGACCTTTTCTCGACAATATGCTGACCATACACTAACCAAAGCTGTCACCCCTGTTTCGAGCAGTGTCCCAGCTACCAGCTTCTTGCACACGGTGACATCACTTTCCGTGTTGCCTTCATCGCTTGGCGACCACGAGCTGCGAGGGGATGTGAGCAGCAACACGCTATTACACGACCTGATAGAAGGCGTACAGTATGTTTCCGAACGGCAGGAAATGACGGACTCGTTTGAAATCCAGGTGGTCGGTGATTGTCATCTTGTAATCAAGCCGCCTCACAAACTTGGCAAAAAACAGCCAAAGTTTAACGTCCAAGTCAGTCGGAATGGCAAGCCTCTCGAGTATGAACTCTCGATGTTATTCGATGGGGTGTACACGCTGAAACTAGATCGTGCGGATGCATACGGTCAGGTGGATGTGATGCTAACTACGATTACAACGAAACCCCACATACAGACAACATCTGTGGACTTCGGGACGCCATGGTTGAAAATCCAGAACTGGAAACGCGCCGCACATCTTATTGCCTCTCAGATTTTGCGAGACTTTGCCACTGCGCAGACCGGACTGTCCGAGGTCTATGGTCGGGTCTGCACCGATTTGCAAGTGCTCATGGGTGATGTTGTAAGAAGGGCCCACTTCCTACGGAAAGAGGCGTCTACTTTGCGACCCGAGTCGGTGCAAATATCCCGCGAAACGAAGGACATAGTAGTGTCCCGATCAGAGCAGTTTACTGAAGTCGTCAAGAAAGGTGCCGTGCAGCCACTTTTAGCTGTCTCGTCTGCCCTACAGGCTCAGACCCATAAAGTGCATACAGGAGCCAGAGAGATGATGAGTGGCACATGGGACAAGATCAGCTCTCATGCACATGCACTTGATCTTGGTGCAGTGAAAGAACGCCTCCGAGATGCGAGGAAATGCAAGGCTTTGGATACGGCGCAGAAGAGAGCCCGAAGTTTGGTGAGGCGGAGGTCTTGTCAGCAGTCGGAGTGTTCGCAATAGGGCTATTGTCGCTGTGCCTCATGATTGGCGGCCACCATTTCGGCAGTAGTTTTTTCAGAATAACATTCATTCCTTTCATGTAATTTCCTATGTTGATTGCTTCTTGGGCTGGTTTATTGGGGTTGCTCGCAGGCGAAAGGATGGGTCAGATATCAGGGTCGGACTGAATCATGGGATAAATTCCTGAAATACATGCTGGATTATGTATCAGTGGAGTATGTTGAAACTTGCCACGTGCATGTCCGTTTCGATTTTCCTCGAGAGTGAATTCGGTCTAGATGTCTCTCTGTAAGGAGTAGTGATAGAAAGTTATAGTTACTGCGGATCGCCCGCCGGCATCAGCAAAGCCAGACTTGCAGGGCGGTGGCGCTAGTGCGGCCTTAGGCGCTTAGGCAATGAACCTACCCACCTCAAAACAACCCCGTCCATATTTTCCCACCCCTCCTCAGTGACTCCCACTTCCCCGATACATTTCTTCCTTTCCTCCTTCTTACCAGGTACATCCCCAGAAACATCCATATCTATCGGAACTTCCCCGCTTATAAATTTGACAGCCAACGCATACCACCCACCATGTCTGACGTCGCTGAGACCAAGCCCGACCCCACCATCAGCGCTCCTGAGGGCGCTGAGAAGCCCGAGGAGACGACCACCACCGCCACCGAAGAGACCAAGACTGAGGAGAAGCCCGAGGAGTCCAAGTCGGTGACTGAGTCCGCTGCCGAGGCCGTTAAGGACACTGCCACCAAGACTACCGACAGCGTCTTCTCCATGTTCGGCGGTGGCCCCAAGAAGGAGAAGCAGGAGGAGCCCGAGGATGCTAAGGACGAGCCCTCCGGCTCTTCCAAGGCCCAGAAGGGTGAAGATGAGGTATGCATCCGATTTTTCGCTATGCTGGTGTCGATGGTCCCCTTACGCCAGTTGAACCGTTACCCCGCTTTCCCCTCCATTGATGTCCACTTTTCCTCTTTACCCCTGATCCTTTGTCCGCCTTTTGTTGGATTCTGCACAAGTTTCATGACAGACCCGTTATATTGCCTACCGGTGGCTAACCATGTTGTTACAAAATTATAGGACGAGGCCCCCGAGTCCCCTGAGGTTCACTTCGAGCCTGTCATCCGCCTGACTGAGAAGGTGGAGACCAAGACCAACGAGGAGCTGGAGGAGCAGACTTTCAAGATGCGTGCCAAGCTTTTCAGATTCGACCGTGACAGCAAGGAGTGGAAGGAGCGTGGTACCGGTGACGTCCGCCTGCTCAAGCACAAGGAGAACCAGAAGACCCGTCTCGTGATGCGCCGCGACAAGACCCTCAAGGTCTGCGCTAACCACTACAGTGAGTGTTGACGTTTTATAATTCGGTGTGGACTTGGATGGCTAATCGATCTTTCAGTTGTTCCCGATATGAAGTTGAGCCCCAACGTTGGCAGTGACCGCAGTTGGGTCTGGAACGCTACCGCTGATGTCAGTGAGGGTGAGCCCGAGGCGCAGACCCTGGCCATCCGTTTTGCCAACAGTGAGAGTAAGTGGACATTGAGATACAGAAGAGGGGTAGAGGTTCATTTTGCTAACATCGAATTCTAGACGCCAATCTCTTCAAGGACGCTTTCGAGAAGGCCCAGCAAGAGAACGAGAAGCTGCTTAGCCAGCAGTAAGCAGGTTCCTGACCTCAGATTTTCTCGGTCATCAGTGATATAGAGGGCTATTGTTAATGAACATTTTGATTCCCTTACCCCAGCATTACGAGTCTGATGTGGACTGCTCATGAAAGACCTATTTCACCTTCATCCCGACTTATCTTTGTTTCCCCCCTTTCTCTTCTCCCAAGCATCAAGCTCCTTACCATTTTCACTGCCCCTGCTTGAGAAAACAGAATTAATGACGCCGGTCATGGCGAGACCATGAGTCGATGCATGCATGGGTCCTTGGTTTTCGGCCATGTGGTCCCTTGCATGTCGTGCGACGACTTGGTACACAGTAGATAGACATCACATGCCCCCAAAATATACGTATGAAATTCACGAAGTCTCTGCCTGCCCCTATTGTACCTATACAGTCGATCGATAGAGTTTGACTTGGCTCTCCCTCTGATGATAATGGTAGTTGGAGGGATGTCCCTTTTCTTTCGCGCCCCCCCCCCCCCCCCCCAAACTTCGAATAGGTGGATTATCCCGCGATGTCACATTTGAAAATTGAAGTAAATTCCCGAGTACAGAAAGCCACCCCTCCCTTGAAAAGCTAGTAGTAATGAGATGCAACTCGAATGTGGGTGGCTGTTACCTGTTGGACGCTGGCGGTTAGTGAGTGAGTGAGTGACCCTTGGGCGTCGTCGCGCCGCCGCGTCGAAGAAAGAGGCCGTCCGGCAGTCAATAACCACTTCCAATCCCCCACCCGGCTTTCAGCCCGCGGAAAGCTTCACTCTCGCTCACTCCTCCTCCCTCTCTGTTTCTACGTCTACCCCCATCCCTCGCTGGTCGGACACCTTTTGAACTGCACCCTTCCCCCCTCCGCTAACAACCATTCACTCCGCTCCGAAATCTGCAGGATTCCCGACAGGAACTCCCGCCAAACATCCGACTTTGCCTCACCTAGGCATCGCGCGACCTCTACATCCGATAGCTCCTGCATCCCATTCAGACTTTCGCGGGAAAGGTCTCTGGGAAGATAACCTCTAATTCTTTTCTTCTGATTCTGACGGGCGATTGATCCACCCTCCTCTTTCAAGATGCCTGACGTGAGTTCCGCTTCCCTCCCCAGATTCAGCAATGGCACCCTCTTCCCACTGGCGCTTGACGCGAACAAACTCGGTCTACTTTCCACTCGATCGCATGACACTGACGTGACGCTTGTGCTCTGCTTCTACAGGTTAAGAGGAATGTCAGATTGGTGACCGAGCAGCACATCGTGTACGTTGTCTCCTACTAATCCTTCCGGTCCCCGAGTCATTCCTGAATGACACACCACCGCTTCTCTTCCTCGTCATCGCTGCCTATCCTTCTCCCCTTTGTCTCACATCCGTTGTCGGTTCTCGCGCGATGGCGGTTCGATGTGCGCTTGGGCTCCTACACGGTTACCTCCGCAGAGAATGGCACAAGGGCAGAAGCTTGAAACGAGGAAAGTCCCTCTTTGCTGACCTCGTGCGCGTCTTCGCGTCTACAGGAATAAAGACTCCGGCGTTGAAGGATTCCCCCTCCGATCATGGTCAATTGAGATCTACCTTGTCAACGAACACGGCGAGCAGGTGCCTGCGAATGTCTTTGACAAAGTGACATACACGCTGCACCCTAGTTTCGGCGACAGAGCCATTCAGAGTACGTCACCTCCTCTGCGCTTCAGATACCCCTCGGTTCGCGTCAGGCCATTGGAACCCGGGCGATAGAGATGGTCGAGTTTACACAAGAAAGTTGGGGGATGGCTCACTGGCAGCTGCTGACATTGGAACAGCTTTCAAGAACCCCCCTTTCAGAATCTCAGAGGAAGGATGGGGTGAGTTCGACATGCAGATAGGCCTCACTGCCGCCGACAAGGAGCATTTCGTTACGCACGATCTGAACTTTGCCCAGCCCCGTTACGAATCCAAGCACGTTATTGTGAGTAGATGGCTCTCAGCGTTTTCCCAGCACTCTCAAACACCATCGATTGTGCTAATTCTTTCCTCCCGCACAGACGTTCAAAAACCCCAAGCCTGCCCTACTATCCCTCCTCCGCGAATCCGGACCCGTCCCAGGAGACGAGAATGGCGTGAAGTCGAAACGCGCTGCAACCGGAGAGGAGGGATCCAAGAAGAAGAAGCGGACAGAGAAGAGTGTAAGCGACGTCTCAGCCTCAGAGAAGAAGAAAAAGTATAATAGAAACATATCTGACATGACTTCAATCTCAGGTCGACATGGACAAGCTGGCCGACGGTCTGCAGCGACTCGGCGAAGATGATCTTCTTCAGGTAGTACAGATGGTGCACGACAACAAAGCCCCAGACTCGTATACCAAGAACGATGTTGAGCGTAAGCTACCACCACCCCTTTGAAATCTCTCATCTCACTAACTAATCAATCCAATTTCATCACACAGAGGGAGAATTCCACGTCGACCTATATACTCTTCCAGACACCCTAATCAAGATGCTGTGGGATTTCACGCAGGAGAAAGGCGCTTTGTGAACAAAAACAACAACACCAACAACAATAACTTACTGGTTACCCCACCATATTTTCCCTTTTTTCTTTTATTTAAACTTATTTTGGGCGAAACAATTGCTATCTTGTTGTATCTCTCTGGCTGTTATTTTCCATCCCCCTCCCCCCTTATTCCACTTCAAAGTTTACTAACTAACTACTTACTACGGAGTACTTTACTTACGTTACTTTTACTGGCTACATTTCGCATCTATGAACAACTACTAGGACTTGTCTATTGTCTATCTACTAGCCTACTCCACCTGCGTTGTATCTTTTTGGTGTGCTTTTCTCTCTTTATCACAAAAACAGAACAGGAAGAAAGAATTGCAGTGGTAAATGGATGGATGGACGGGTAATAATGATATCGTTGCAATAAGTAGCGGAACAGAGACAGGAGGGGGGAATTTCGGGGGATAAACATCGAATCGAAATGAAAATAATTTGGGACACTTGTATTTGTGAAAACAGGCGGGAATTGAGAAGAGAAGAGAATTACCTCATTTTGAAGAGCATTGCACTTACTTACTTGCCTGAAGATGGATGAATACTGGCTTGAATTTAGTAGTAATTGTAGTACTAAGTAGTAAGTGGTACTTTTGGTACTTGCCAGGTAGTTACTTAGGTGAGGTGAGTCTTCTGCTTATACACTTGTGTGTCTTTTGTTGTGGAAAAAAAATTGATATCAGTGTAGCGGTTAGGTTTGTTTCGGTTTGTCTAGGGTGTATGATATGATTTCATGCCCGGTGGCATGATGTGTATGCTACGTATACGAGTGGTAACTAAGTAGTGTTCCGAGCAGTAGATGAATAAGTAGATAGGTAGGTAGTCGGTCTCGGATAATAACAACACATCATGGCATCTGAAAGGAGATAAAAACGAAAAGGAGAAGAAAACCAAGAACCGTGTTGGATATCTCAAGCTCAAGGTCAATCAAGCAAATAAACAATCAATCAACCAACCATGTAAAATCAAAGGCCCAGCCTTGCCTGCCTGAACACCAGTAGTACTGTCACGTATGTACTGTAGATCCGTCTATATGCATGCATGTACCCGAACAAATGAAAAAGAGATACAAGAGGAAATAACAAACAACCAAGACACACTGCCGGCCAATCGAGGATGCAAGAGAAGGAAAGGAGGATAGAGATGACCTGGACGCCCGCTTTGCTGCATATTGAAGTGTTCGTGCAGAGAACATTATCGCTGTCATATGAACGTGAAGAGAGGAATATTTAGCGTTTCTAGAATGCTTGTTCGTTTACAAGATACGGTATCTGTTTGATTGGTCAGTTGGTTTGGTCATTGGTAAGGGATACAGGGATGAAACATACGATCTGAGCAGGTCTTCAAGACTGTCTGCGCTGCAGCTCCGACCCTTGGGAATCTGTCTCAAGATCTCGACGATCGTAGCAAAGACATCGCCATCCTTGTATGCTAGCAGAGCGGGGGCTTCGATGTGATCCATCTCGGCGATCTCGTGGTGGAGCTTGACGAAGTGAACAGTGGGTTGACGACGAGCAATGGTGTTGAGAGAGTCTTCAACAATGCTGCTGGTTGTGGACTATAGAAGGGTCGGGTCAGCGACCAGTTTTTCTTGACGAATGATACAATGGGTAAAACATACCTCTGGGTCATAAACGCAGACGACTACTACCGTGCCGGATGTGACCTTCTCAATAGCATCCAGGTATCCCACCGCATCGACAATATCCACAGACCCGTACAACTTGCGACGGGGACTAGGCTTCCTCAAGCTGCGGGCCTGCATTTCCTGCATGCGGGCCGCGCGCCATTGGTGAAGGAATCGTTCCTCATCATCGCTAGCGGAAGATCCATCGGGTGGGGAGGAGTTCTGGAGGAGTGTAGCGTCGTCGTTGACGGACTTGTTGTAGTGGGAGCGATCGAGACCAGCGACGCCGAGAAGAGTTCTGCGGAAGGAGCTCTTGCGAGCACGCTCAAAGGCCTGGGCATCGGCGATGACACCCTTGGGGCCAGTGTTGGCGTCGAACACGGTGTTGGGGACGCGATAACTGCTGGGGTTGCGGGAGTGCATGGCAGAGGAAGTGTCTTCGGCGTCGGAGAATTGGGGTTCGTCGTGGTCCGAGGATGCGTCAGAGGAGTGAACCGAGTCGTTGTCACGGTCCTCAGGATGAGAAGAGAATTTCTCCCGGTTGTTGTTTATGAGTTGATTGAACTCGTCTTGAGCAGATGACATCGTGAAGGAGGAAGCGGGGGGTTTCCGGGCTTTAAAACAGGGTCGAAGACGATGACAATGTCAATGATATTCTTAGAGCTTGGCTGCGCCTTGATCTGCGTCGACGATGGGGTACCGTAAGGGCCTAGTTTAATTTTTTCGGATTCAAAAAAATTTTGCCTGGTAAGGAGCAGCTGGCGGGGGGGAAAAGCGAATGAAACGAGAAAAAGAAGCGAAACCAATGACGAAGGGTCGTATCCAACACGAAAAATAGGGGGGGTAGAGAAGCGTGTCCCAGAGAGTGTTAGTACACGTTTCAGAATATTTTTATGGTTTTCGCTCCGGTGCTTTTCCTAAGAGAGAGGGAAATCCAGAGCGTTGATCCAAGGGAAGGCAGCAAAAGGCAAGAGAGGGCGAGAGAAGAGAGGCTGAGGAGGGGGGAGGGATGTGGAAAGAAGGAAGTGGCGGGAGATGAAACAATCGAGGCCCGAAGGATGGAAGGGGAAGAGAGAGAGGGACGGGCTGCCCGAAAGCGAAGATCAGCCAGTAGGAAAAAGGGGCGGTGTTTCAGAAATCGGAGATCAGCCCCCGGGGAAAGAAGCCGCGAAGAACCTTCCATTTCATCCTATTCTGTTGCCCCGGGTGCCATGGTTGGTCCCCCAATGGCTGTGGCCATGGTGCGGCTGACCGGGTTCAATTAAAAGAATAAGAATGGTTTTTCATTATTTAGTGTGTATAAGATCGAAATATCAATCGACCAGGGCTGGAATTAAAGCGAATGGCTAGCTCAAATGTGACTTGGAAGTCCATGTAAAAATCATACTATAAAGCCCACAAAACCCGACACTCTAATTCATCCACAACGACGTGGGATCTCGTGGCAATGCTTTGGCTCTCCCACACTCTTTTCTCCCCTTGTACACCCCCCAAACCTTCATGCCACCGCGTGATTGCCCTTTAACTCAATGTCCACACGACTGATGACGTGGTGTGCTGGAGGACACGAAGGATGGGACTTTGCAAAGAGAGGGCCATTTGCTTGGATGGGTACCTCCAAATAGAAACCAGGATCCTCCTGGCTCTGACAACTGGCAGCTCCCCAGTGGATCTAGCAGCATCAGATGTGTTTCATCGCCATCCACGGAGAAAAAATCCTGTCATTCCTCTCCCTCAACAAGAATTCCCAACACCGCTTCTGGTAAGTTTTGCGTTCGACGTGTTCACCACAGATCCTAACGGTTTGCGCATCGCCCGCGCTGGCCGCCCTTGTGGAGACAAACAAGTGACACATCTTTTGGATAGGGCCCCCAGATCCAGTGGGCTCCGCCGTCGGGCGAGATCCGGACAATGGCCTTCCAGGTTCTGGCCTTCCACTGAAAGCTCGCCCTGCCCTTCCGGTTTAGACAGTGTCATCCTGTACCTGTTGATCTGGCCCCGTCCCCGGTGGAGTACGGAATCGTTGCCTTGCCTGTTCGTTACTCCTCTTCCGCGGGCAGATCCTTTATCCTGAGGGTGGTACGTAAGTAAGTATAGGGCGATAGATCAGCCGACCCCACGCGTGTGGGCACTATTAATAACTTGGGACATCCCGTGTACGCTGGTTCATTGCCAGTAGGACTGACCTTTTGGCCGCTGCAAGCGATCCCAGCGCCCTTTTATCTATCACGGATATAGCCTCCTGGTCTCCCCAACAGACACTCCCGGTTCTATCCCAGCGAACCCTACCCAAGCAGGGTGAATCAAGCGGGAACGACTAACGCGAAACAGGATATTCCAAAGAGATTATTGAGCTTTTCCAAAAAGTATTGCCTGTCATTTGTACTAGTGGCTGCCTAACAACTCTCTGCCACACCTTGGCTGACCACCAGGCCGGGACATAAGAGTGCCGCGGAACATGACATCGTGGGGGCGAACCCCCCGAGGGATAAAGGAAAGATTTGCTGGAAACATGGTCGATTTCAACACCAGATATAATAAAGGAAAAGCCCGCTTGAAAACACTCAAATGACACAACCGACACTTTCAAGACGTAGGCTGATGATTAGTAACAGAAGGAGATTGCAGTAAGAGTCAAAAGGAAAAACGTCATGGCCTATCCGGAAACATTCCCTCCCTTTCCATCCATCACCCGCAAAAAGTACAGAAGATAGTAAGTAAGAAAGGTCAGAGAAAAGAAAAAGGGGTGGGAGAAAGAAAAGGTGAAAGTGAAAAGAAAAAGATACTCGATCAGGGTAGTAATCGAGGTCAGAAATTGAAGAAAAAGACAAGGGGAAAGACGTCGAAGAGGGGGATAGGGTTAGTAAGGGTGAAGGGTAAAACGAGATCGAAAGAAATGAACACAAGAAAATTAAGCCCGCGAATACATAAGAACAGGGGCCTGCAAATCTTCGAAGCTCAAAAGATGACATGTGAGATGCGCTGCCTCTTGCCCAGCAACGCACTGATATCCGTGCAACGATCCCGAGGTCTCAAAACATCAATAGCATTATTACAACCCACCGCACCAGTAGTCGAGCATTGTCGGTTCGTGTTGGCATTCTGCTCCTCTTGGCGTATTCTTGCTCATCACACCCAGCTGGGAACGGCGGCAGAATCCCAATCCCGACATGGTTAGGCACCCTGACTGCCCCGTGATTTTTCGTTTCTTGGTAACTTTGCCGGTACTCCGAGATAGTACATTATGGAGCAAGGGCGACAAGATTTGCTCCCGGTGAAAAAGATTATCGTACAATGGCGGACATTTAGCCTAGTGGCGCAGAAAAAGGAAAAAAGAAACTTGGAATGAGGACGTCGCAAAAGACTGAGACAGGGTATCTTTGCTGTTTTTGTTCGTTTTGCTTTTTTACCAAGCCCAGACCTTGAGCTGTAAGACGGAGGACGATTAGTATGCTGCACAGCCCAGTCAACCAAAGTGATGCTTTTGCTAATCTTACCAGAGAATCCCAGGATCCAGTGCACAAGCTGATGCCGTCGTTGCTGACTCCCAAGCAGCTTACGCGGTTCTCGTGACCACTCAGGGATCCAACCTTGTCTCCGCGCAGAACATCCCAGACCTGCAGGTGAAATATGATCAGCCGGTTGTGCGATATTACAACTAATTGGGCGGTTTCGGGTCTTACCTTGCACTCGAAGTCATCGTAACCAGCAAAAAGCAATCTGCCAGAAACGGAGAAGGCAACGGAGGTGATACCGCACAGTATTTGGTCGCTCTAGAATCATTCGTCAGCTACAGATGAATTCGCCATACAGATTGCCAGCATTTACCTGGTAGGTGTTGAGTTCGCGATCCGCACGAATGTCGAACAGACGGCAGGAGGTGTCGTCAGAACCGGTTCCGAAAGCGTTTCCGTCGGGGAAGAACTGGATGGCGTTGATGTCGGATTCGTGTCCAGCGAAAGTTTGCACCGCCTTTCCGGTACGGATATCCCACAGCTTGGCGAAGGCATCGCAGGCGCCCGAAACGAAAACGTTCTGGTTTGTCGGGTTGATGCTGATCGACATCACGTCGCCAAGGTGATCAGCGAATTCAGTAACCTTCGAGCCCGATTCGATATCCCACAGCATGCAAGTCATGTCGCCGGAAGACGTGATGATTCTGCGATCGTTGATGAACCGACAGCAAGAGAGGTAGCCGGAGTGTCCGGAGAGCTCACGCGCGACACGAGTCGGACCCTCACGAGAGGAGAGGTTGTAGATCGAGCAAATGTTGTCGAGACCACCGCAGGCGACGTAGTTTCCACTCGGGGCATAGGCACAGGTCATCACCCATGATGACCTCAGCGGGATCGCATGGACCTTGTTCGTGGTGTAGGCGTCCCAGATGATGAGCTTTCCGTCCTGAGAGGCGGAGACGAGATGACGGCGGTCGGTCGACCAATGCATGGCGTAGATCTTGGCCAAATGTCCCTTGAGCGTCCGCCGGGGCTTCATACCAATACGAGGCAAGGTTTCAGTTTGGTTCTGCGCGACTTGACGGACTGTTGGGGGGGAGAGAAGGAACCAGAGTCAGCAAATCGAAACACACGGCCAATCATGACTACAACGGACGGCTGTTGTTCGCCCATTGCGAGGGAGAGGCCAAGAGATGCGAAAGGGAAAAGAGGGATGCGTACGAGTTGTATCGGCCAACTCATCCTTTCTGCGCTTGATCTTGTCCTTCAGGCCTTCAGCTTCGCGCCTAGCCGCGGTAATCTTAGCCTGCATCTGTTCGCCGGACATGTCGGCCATCTTGACGGAACGAACCCCTGGAGAGGGAAGATGTCAATTGTGAAACGGAAGACGGGCCTGAGGGGAAGAAATTGAGTTGACGGCGGGCGGCGGCGTCGTGAGATCCAGGGGACTGAAAGAACCGCGAGAGGGGGGTTGCGGGAAGAGGGCGGTAGGGGGAGGAATGGGAATAGAGAGAGGGAAGGGGAAGGAGTGAGAGAGAGAGAGAACGAGGAGGGGGGTTGATTGGGTGTGGAGCGAGTGCACGGCGGAAGCGACCGAGCGAGAGCAAAGAAAGTTTCGACCCGGGGCAATGGTGAGGTGGTTCGGGCGTTTAAGTCAGCAGGGGGGGAGGGAGGAGGAGGAGGGAGGGTAAGTAAGTAGTGGTTAAAAGTAGTTAGTGGTAGGGGAGGAGTAGTAGCAGTAGTAGTAAGTTGTGGGAAGGAGGGGGTGGGTTTTTGGTTGTAAGTAAAGTGAGTGAGTGAGCAAGCAAGAAAGCAAGCAATCAATCAACTGCTGAAGCAGAGAGAGAGAGCACGAGGTAGTAGTGGTAATCGGGATGGGGATAGGATACGATCTTGGGAAGAGAGAAAAAAAAAATTAAATTAAGATAAAAAAAATAAAAAATAAAAAAAGAGGGAAAGGGGGAAAAGAGAGAGGAGCCTGACGGACGGAAGGGCCAGAGAGGGAAAAGGCAGGGAAAAATCCAGTTGATGACAAGCAGTTAAGATGGAAGGTGGTCGTAGTAACTCCGTCGTAGCGCCAATAATAATGATGTATGGCCTCACCAGACTAAAGTAAGTCGTGCCCTTTACTCTATCGGGGCTCTGATGGCTGCTACTAGACGCGGCTGTACGGACTACGACCGCGGACTACTACGACGCCAACAATACATAATACACAAGACCGCAGGGACCAGAGTTCAGGATAGGATAGGATAGAATAGGATGAGATGAGATGAGATTACATCTGATGTTACTCTTATTGCGGCGGTGGTGGGCGGCGATAATATTGGGCTGGTGATCCTGGCTGGTGAAACAATACCAATTATTCAAAGAACACTGCCACCAAATGGGTTCACAACAATAAGACTGTGTGCCAGAAGAAGAAGGAAGAAGCAGCAGTAGCAGATGATGATTATCGGAGAACCGGTTAGTGAGTTTGTTAGGGGGAGCTCCTCTCTCTCTCAGAGAACGGAGCCTCCTGATGAAAAAGCCAAATCCGGTGGAGGATTAGGTTACCTACCTGTGACAATACGAAAACCTTACCCGGCCAGCCCTTCATTCACCAGAAAGGGAACGTGCCATCCCTGATTGGCTAAACCAGCAGAAGAATTGGTCGGTTCAATTTCAACCGGTCCATCTTGTTCTCCTCGTTACATTACCCAGGGGTAACTTATCTCCTCCTCGTTGGTTTTAAGGGGAAACCAGCCAGAAGAAAAAGACACTAGATACCACGACCACTAAGTCCAGTAGTCTAGCTCCAAGTACGTAGTGCCCAGGTAGGTAGGTACTCCGCCAAATGGTCCCAGGTCTCCATCAAGGCCACTAAGGGGGGAAAAGTGGTCTACACCCTGGTCAACCCCGGTGGAGAATTTCCGCTGTCATTCCCCTCTGGTTGGCCAGATCGCCGACAAGTGGAGGTGCTCGGGACGCGAAAACCACAGGGGAATTTCTGAAAGGGGGGGGTCCATTTCATCGAATTAGTTGGGATTATTCTTCCGGGTCTTCCTTCGAATCTGAAATAGGGGACCTCCATACGGAGTAGTAAAGTATCTATCCAAAGGAATGTTCATGGAAGGTTCAACGTAGGACAGGGTTCACTAGACACTTACATAGTACATAATCTCTACCGTTGACACTTGACATCTGCCGACTTTCATCTCCTTGCCCACGGGGCAAAGTCCGACAGTGCATGAATCGCGGTTAGTCCAGGTTGCATATCCACAAGGATTGGTACCAAAAATACGCGAATTGCTTTCTGCATGCCGCATGGCGGTCCATCTAAGCCTTGCACGAGTCGACCCTCCTCCCCTTTCTCAAGACTATCTACTTAAACGGGTAGGAAAGAGGAGAATGAATGCTCTGCTTGCAGATCATGGTCATAGCTAGATAACGTCTACTTTACGGTTCACCATGTCTGTCTCCTGCAGAATCGAGTATCGAATCCGGGATAGATGGGGACTCCGACGGACTTCGAGATTGATTCCACATCTACTCCGTACTGCATGTTGCTTCGATCAACAGCTTGTCCCGTTCATAATGAGATACATCCTTTCTCAAGGACCGTGAAGGCCTGAATCTTTTTATTTTAATGCGCCAGGTTGTTGGTTTTTTTCCGATTTTGCCTTGCAAAAAGAGATCGAAGGTGATGACGAATATCTAGTGGATTAGTTACCCGCCGCATCCTTCAAGACTACTACATAGTAGTATTAGAGCCCGTATCGTATTTCAACCGCTTTCGCAAAATATGCATCAAGATGTAAGTTCCAGCTCCAGCTTCATGCTGTGCATACCATGCAGCAAACAATTCCTTGTGCAGAATTGATA